AGGCCTGGGTCAGGGCTACAGTCGGAAAACCTCCGTGGCTTCAAGAATCGTGCAGTTTATTTAAGCAGCAGGGGTTGTATTGCTCTCAATTTCCACTAAATCTACACGCATTAGGTATTAAGCAATTAAAGTTCAAAGCCTTTTGGGGGGGGGGGGAAGAGCAACATAGACCCGAATCAAAAAAAAAAAAAATCTATCTAGTCCCAAAGGGGGCACGGAGCTCATCTGCCGGAAGCGTCCATTTAACTTCCTACGTTGTAAGGAAAATCAGTCCTTAGCTGTTAACCGTTTGCAAACGTTCAGGATGATTTTGTCGGGCATTCATTCCCCCCCGTTACAACGGTCGGCGTTATTTTTTAAGAGCGAGCGAGAGGAGGCCGGGGGCAACCTGAGAGCAGCGTCGGCTGCCGCGGGGACCCCTGCAAAGGACACTGCACGTTTTCGCCTCGCTTGGCACAATGCCCTGCGGTGCACCGGGGGCACCAGGCTTCGGGGACCTGCTCGGTGGCCGACATTTTCCCGAGCAGGAAGTTCCCACGCTTTTAGGATCGGGATGGGTGTCAGGCGCCCAGCCGAAGGCCAGGCGGCTCTTCCCCGGAGAATCAAGCCGCGGTGGGAGCCGGCGGGGCAGCCGCAGGTCCCCCCGTGCAGCGCGAGGCCGCGCCCCCGCCGCCGCCGCCGCCGCCGTTCCCGGGCGCCGCACCGCAAGCTCGCCCCGCCGCCCGCGGGGAGAGGCCGGCCGCCCCGCACGCAGCCGCCCCGGGCTTCCGCCTCCCGGCCGCTCGGCTCCCCCGGCCGCCTCTGCTTCGGGGCCGCGGAAACCCCGTAGGAGCGGGGCGGGCCGGGAGCGCGGCGTGGCCACCGCTTGCTGCAATATTCTTCCGCCGCGAGGCAAAGAGTCCCAGCCTCCCCCCAAGGCCCCGGCATGTCCCGCGGCCCCGTAACATCGAGAAATAACCCAATTTGGATTTTCCCACCCACTCGCTTGGGCTATTCTCCGAGGTGAGGACCCCCAGGATCACAATTTGGTGGGCGACCGGAGAGCGACGAGAAAATCCCTCCGCAAGAAAACGGGTTCCGGCCGCGAGCCTATAAAAGACGGGTGGCGCGGCGCCGCTGTCTTTCCAGTCGGGCGCTGAGTGGCTCTTCGGATCATGTCTGGTGGCTCCGCGGACTATAACAGGTATGGCGCTGCCGCGGTGCCGGGGTGTCGTGCGACGCCGGCGGGGGTGCTGGTGGTCGGCGAGGAGCCTGGGGGCTGTGGGTTCTCGGGCGTTTCCTTGAGGTTTAGCGCCTCTCTGCCCTTCGAGAAGCTTCCATGATGGGTAGGGCCTGGCCTGCGGGGAGACTAGGGTACAAAAACGGAGCGGTTGGAGGGGCTTTTTTTCCCCCCCCCTCCCCTCCCCTCCCGAAGACGCCTTGGAATCCCGGCCGCGTCCCCTGCCCGCCGGCGCACGTTTTAGTTGAGCGGTGGCGCAGTCCGCAGTCGACACGGTGTAACGGGGTGGGGGGGCGAAGCTCTAGCGGCGGCGGAAGGCGCGAGTTGCAGGCTCGGCTTTAGGCGGGCGGGGGGAGGGGACGGCGGCGCCCGCCCGCTCGCTGGCCGCGGCCTTGCGGGCGGATGGGGCCGTGCCGGCAACCGGGTCCCCGCGAACCGTTGGCACCGCTCTCGCCAGGCCGCGGCCCGCGTCAATCACCGCGGCTTGCGCAGTGTAAGGGGCGGAGCTCAGCGCGTGGAGCTCTCGCGAGACCGGCTGCCGCCGAGACGGGAGCGCCTGGCGCTCGGGCTGGGGGAAGGGCCGGCGGCCGTGGGCCTTTCCTGGGCGTCCCCTGTGGTCGGCCTTGGGGCAGGCGCGCACGGAACGTGACTGCAGGCGCGGGTGGTGCGCACGTGTGGGGAGAGTGGCCGGCCTAGCCCCGGCCCTCCCCCGGGCCGTGCAGGTAAGAGGGCTGGGGAGAGGGACGTCCTCTAACTGCGGTGTTCTTGTCGGCAGAGAACATGGAGGCCCAGAGGGAATGGACCCCGATGGTGTCATCGAGGTAAGACCTCTGTGTTGGATTCTGAAACGTGGGCAAGGTGAGCGTGTTCCTCCGACTCACTCAGTCGTCTTTTGTATGTGATTTGCAGAGCAACTGGAATGAGATTGTTGATAACTTTGACGATATGAATTTAAAGGAGTCTCTTCTTCGGGGCATCTATGCTTACGGTTTTGAGAAGCCTTCAGCTATTCAACAGAGAGCTATTATTCCTTGTATTAAAGGTAAACGAGCTAGCTAGCCCTTTTTGAAAAATGCATTAACTGTTCTACATAACTGACCTGGACCATAAAAGGGAAAGTAACTTCTGGGGGACTAGCACCTGTTTGTATTCCTTAAAGTGAAATGATGGCAATCATCTTTCGGGACTGACCTGAAATGAAGAGAATACTCATTGCTGATCACTTGATTATTTGGGCATAATTAATGTTCCAAACGGAATACATGGTGTGAACTAGAAGTGGCGGTTTGATGTGGGATCGGTAAATATGTATCCTACTTTTTTTAGGGTATGATGTGATTGCTCAAGCTCAGTCAGGTACTGGCAAGACAGCCACATTTGCTATTTCCATCCTGCAACAGTTGGAGATTGAGTTCAAGGAGACCCAAGCACTAGTATTGGCCCCCACCAGAGAACTGGCTCAACAGGTATTGATAGTGTAGTTCAAAAAAACTGCTTGCGTGTTGCATAGGTTTCAGGTTTCACAACTGTGAAGAATTTAAAACTTAGTATAAATTGGTCCTATCCATAGGAGCCCTCCTAATTGTCCATGCATGCAGGGAGTTTTTGTTGAGTTAAAAATAGGAACTGGGTGTGCAGGTATGGTTTGCAGGGTTGTGTAACAGATTTGAGAAACCAAAGTGTTTTCAGGGTGGACTACATCTGTTCCCATTTTTAAGTTTGAATGCAGTTGTGCAACATGAAAACTGCAGTGACATGTTATTTGACTGTCTCAGTAGTTTGTGATGCATCTGTTGCATGCTATGTTTTCAAAGCTCACTGCTATATTGGCTTTGAAGTAAAACCTTGCTAATAAAACTAGGTTTTAGTTTTATTAAGGTCAAAAGGACATAAGTTCCAGTACTTTGGGAAGGACTAAAGTTACCAACAAGTTATCCCTAGATGTGCTTACAGAGTTTGTTCCACTATTTACACCTTCCTACGCACTGAAAAGCAATGTAGGAAATGATGTAACTAAAATCATTCAATTAACTCAGGTTGTATCTGGGGTAACAGGATCCCAAGTTTGACAAGGCACAAGGAAGACACGTTAAGGGACTTTTGTCATGAAGCAGTTAGATCAGTCTGCATTTTAAGCTTGGAAGTAGTTAAGTGCTGTGCATGCATAGAAGCTATTTGCAGACCAGATATTTGCTGTTATGCTTTGGAAGTTTAGTCACAGCCTGTAATTCTGCTGTGTAATAATAAAGGGTTTTGGCTTTTAGATCCAAAAGGTAATTCTGGCACTTGGAGACTATATGGGAGCAACTTGTCATGCCTGCATTGGTGGAACCAATGTTCGGAATGAAATGCAAAAACTGCAGGCTGAAGCACCACACATTGTTGTTGGTACACCAGGGAGAGTATTTGATATGTTAAACAGAAGATATCTTTGTAAGTATTGCTGTCTCTGGAGTATAGTTTATTTTATTTTATAGTTTATTTTAAAAGTTTAAATAGTATCTCTCTGGATTTAGAGCTGAATAGTATGTTTGGCTTTCTTGGTCAGCTCCAAAATGGATCAAAATGTTTGTTTTGGATGAAGCAGATGAAATGTTGAGCCGAGGGTTTAAGGATCAAATCTATGAGATTTTCCAAAAATTAAATACGAGTATTCAGGTGAGCTTTTGTTTTTACTCGTTCATACAGTAGCTGGGGGCTTAGGTTTAATGGAAGTTAAAGTACAACTGAAGTCTTTGTCCTCCCTTGTTAAAGCTATTGGCACATAACTATGACACTTGGTTATAGTTTTATTGTGAAAGTTGGCTATTTGTGTGACAATATAACCATTGTCTTTTTAAGGTTGTGTTGCTTTCTGCCACAATGCCAACTGATGTGTTGGAAGTGACCAAAAAATTCATGAGAGATCCAATTCGAATTCTGGTGAAGAAGGAAGAATTGACCCTTGAAGGAATCAAACAGTTTTATATTAATGTTGAAAGAGAGGTAATTTGTCTAATTACTATTAAATTGTGGTTTTTCATTTCTTGACCTTCTTGTATAAGCACTGTGCTAAAATTGCAGAAACTAGGATTGCCTTAGTTTTTGTAATAATGCTAGCAGAGTACACACAAGAAGAAAAGTAACTGCACTGGATTGTAGAGACTGGGGTGGACCTCTTTCTTAATGTCCAGTGTCCTTTGTCTTAAGATTTGGTGCAATATGTTTTAGAATGGCCTAACAATGAATTCTAATGAACATGAATTGGAGACTAGATTTTAATGACTGTTAACTTTGAAAAATTGTAGGAATGGAAGTTGGATACTCTTTGTGACTTGTACGAGACACTGACGATTACTCAGGCTGTTATTTTTCTCAATACAAGGCGTAAGGTGGACTGGCTCACTGAGAAAATGCATGCCAGGGACTTCACAGTTTCTGCCCTGGTAAGAAGTGTCCTAGTAGTGATAATTATGCCCCCCCCCCCCTTAAAGCAGGATTTAGACTACAATATAGCTGTTAAGTGCTGTGTTGTCGTTCCCCCTGCTCAAAATAAAGCTGTTTCTTTACTATACCTGTCTGCCATATCCCTGTAGCAGCCAGGGACGCTTGGTCTCATACATGTCAGTGAAATTAAATAATTGATTTGACTGGTGATTCTTGAATTAAGGTTTGTTAATTTGCAGCATGGTGACATGGACCAGAAGGAAAGAGATGTTATCATGAGGGAATTCCGATCAGGGTCAAGCCGTGTTTTGATCACTACTGACTTGTTGGTAAGTCTCTTACTGATCTTTTTAATCTACCAAAAGTTTGTTTTGGGGGGAAGGTTTTTTAATAACCTTTACCAGATTGGGCTGTTTGGGAGATTAAAGAAAAGACCACACTCCACAGTGGGCTATATCACTTAACGTATAGTTCACTACTATTTTGTGGCCTACATCATGTAGCTGTGTACAGTTTAAATTAGAATTTGAACATCATACCATTGTATTGCAGGCTCGTGGGATTGATGTGCAACAAGTGTCATTGGTTATAAACTATGATCTACCTACCAATCGTGAAAACTATATTCACAGGTGAGTAGGTGGCATCTTGTTACTATATCGGTAAAATAAATTCATGTGTGGCTTTTCTACAGACTGATTTGTTTGAAAGGCAACTTCATTATTAGGGAAGTAAAGACGTAGTAACTTGGTTAAGATGTCAACTACATTTGTATTTGGGAAGATTGGTCATCTGCAGTGGGAAAACAGTCGTAAATGTTGCCCAAACTGTGGATCAGGTTGTTTAGATTTGTTGGTCTTAGCTTATTTTTGAGTTTTTAGTGATCTTGTGTCCATGTGCTTTCTTGGTGATTGTAGTTGGGATTTTCTTGGTGTTGTCTGGTAGCAATTTGAGCAGTCCCTGGTTTAGTTATAGTGGCTTTATCCCTAAGTAAATTGAACTGTACTTTGTTATATGATGTAAAAAAAGACTTTTTAAAAAATACAGGAGTCGATAGCAGCAGTTGATGACGAGATGGCGCTCAGAAACGGCGTTGACGTAATTTAGGACGTGGAATCATAAGCGAAACAGCACACTGTTTGAATAAAGAGCGAGTCGGTATTTATATTTGTTTTTCTTTTGTCATGATTATTTGATATTTTTAAGTTGCTCCAGCCAAGGCATTTTGTATGTTAGTTTTACTAGGTGGTTTGTGTTGTCTGGTTTCCATGAGGAAGGTAGAAAGCTGTTTTGGAGGTAAACACGTTTGAGTAATTTGAGTTATACAACGTGTAAAACTGAGCAAAAAAGCAGTGATAAGTTTGGGTTACCATACCAAATACTTGTTTTCCCACTGGAAAAAGTTGTAAGTTTTAGACAATAGTTAACCTTGCAGCATTTGTATTTACAGTTTACAGTTCCAGATGTGCGTCGAAATGGATTACATAACTGTTCTTCTTGTTTTATCCCTGGTGTTTACATCTGTCCCAGGCTGACCTCTGCTCTTGGCTGGCCCACTTTGGTATGGGCTTTAATTTCACTACCCCAAACACAATACTGTCATCTGCTTTAAAAGTAATGCTCAAGACACCGGATAAAATCTCATTTTGCAGCCAGACAAGCCTTGAATCCTTTTGGCACTAACTGCAAAGGAAGATTTTTTTCTCTAGATATTGATTAGCAGCTAGTGCGCTCCAATTAGAAGCACGAACTGTAACCTTATTAAGTAAACGGCAGCTGATGGTTAACAAGTGGATCATCATGTTCAGTAGTTCCTATTGGAGAAGTAACATTCTAATTGCTATGTTTCTTTCTCTACACAGAATTGGCAGAGGGGGTCGATTTGGGAGGAAAGGTGTGGCTATAAACTTTGTTACTGAAGAAGACAAGAGGATTCTTCGTGACATTGAGACTTTCTACAATACTACAGTGGAGGAAATGCCAATGAATGTGGCTGACCTTATTTAATTCCTGGGATGAGATAGTTTTGAATGCAGTGCTCGCTGTTGCTGAATAGGCGATCACAACGTGCATTGTGCTTCTTTCTTTGGGAATATTTGAATCTTGTCTCAATGCTCATAACGGATCAGAAATACAGATTTTGATAGCAAAGCGACTTTAGTCGTGAGCTCTTGTGAGGAAAGGCATTGGCTTTATCCTCTTTAGAGTTAGACTGTTGGGGTTGGGTGTAAAAGATGGGGTCTGTAAAATCTTTCTTTCTTAGAAATTTATTTCCTAGTTCTGTAGAAATGGTTGTATTAGATGTTCTCTATCATTTAATAATATACTTGTGGACTAAAAGATATAAGTGCTGTATAAAATCAGCCAATTATGTTAAACTAGCATATCTGCCTTTATTGTGTTTGTCATTAGCCTGAATAGAAAGGCCTTTAAAATTGATTTTTTTTTTTTTAGAAAGCATTTGAATGCATTTTGTTTGGTATTGTATTTATTCAATAAAGTATTTAATTAGTGCTAAGTGTGAACTGGACCCTGTTGCTAAGCCCCAGCAAGCAATCATATCTTAGATAGGGTTAAACCCCCAGTAAAATTGCCATATTGCACATGTCTTAATGAAGTTTGAATGTTAAATAAATTGTATATTCACTTTAAAGGTGCTTTGGTGATTTTTATTTAAAAAAAAAAAACAAGTATCCTACAAAACTTTAACAATTCTGTGTTAACTGCTGCATCACTGTAGCACAGAGGCTGATCAGTTGTAGATGTTCATCGGCACCATCTGCTAAGCATTTATCTGCTTCCTACAAGAAAACCAGAAATTAGTAAAATTTGCCCTTGGAGTTCTATTAAACATTTTGCTGAAATGTGCAAAAAATGCCTACTTACAGCAAGTTTTTCTGTTATGATGGATTTCTGCTTATCAGAAAGATTATCGTTCTCTACAACCACATCATGAAATTGACTTACAAGCTGAGTTGCTGCATGACCCTCATCTATTAAGTCCTGTAACAGAAAGTTGTATTTGGTATGATCATTTAAGTTTTCCCTTACCTGGAAGTGAGCAGTAAAGTGACCTACTTTTACCACAGCTTCCAGTTTGTCAAAAGAGCCACTCTGACATGCAGCAAATATTCCATCAATGGTCTCAGCTGGTATTACCTAGAAAGTTGTTTAAAGATAAGCCTTTATCTCCGGCCTGGGTAGAGTTCACTGTGTAAAGCTGTTTCTGTAACACTAAATTGACACACCCTTGGAAAAGCAAAGGAAGAGAACTCGGGGAAGAGCCTTACACTCTCTATCATGAGCTCAAGAAAGCTAACCTTCTACCCTGCCTAGGACCATCTTTAAATTAGATAAGTCACTATTCTGTAACCAGGGTGATCTTCTAATAGTTCTGGTTTGGGTGCATGATGGAACAAGAATAGCTGATCTGGTCAGTGGGAGAACAGCTAAAAATTCTGGGTGGCTTATACCCAAGTGGTTCTACTTCCACTAAAGCGGCTAAAGTCAGTCAACCGGTTTAAAGAGGGAATTTAAGGGAAGGTGCCTCCTTTCCTAAGATAACCACTAATAGACTGCTTTTAGAAGGTCCATAATTCCCCCCAAATTAAAGGACAAATACTATAGATTTCATCATGGTATGAAAAATATCTTTGGGAATCCCTGGGTGGCTCAGTGGTTTAGTGCCTGCCTGCCTTTGGCCCCAGGGTGTGATCCTGGAGCCCTGGGATTAAATCCCATGTCGGGCTCCCTGCATGGAGCCTGCTTCTCCCTCTGCCTCTCTGTCTCTGCCTCTCTGTCTCTCATGAATAAATAAAATCTTAAAAAAAAAAAAAAAGGAATCGCGTGATCTAGTAGCCAGTCAGGTGCCCCCATCCATTTCATTGGGATGCCTGGGTGGCTCAGTGGCTTAGCAGCTGCCTTCAACCCAAGGCGTGATCCTGAAGACCCAAGATCAGAGTCCCACATCGGGCCCCTGCATGGAGCCTGTTTTTTCCCTCTGCCTGTGTCTCTGCCTCTCTCTGTGTCTCATGGATAAATAAAATCTTAAAAAACAAGGTTTTGAAAGTAGTAGTAGTGATCCTACTAGTAGTAGAGATGAACTCTGGCATTATTTCTCTAAGTGGGATATTGCTCCCTCTATATATGACCCTTTGTCAGAATATATCTGTAAGAACAGGGATATTAATAATTTTTGTTTAAGATTTTATTTATCAAAAAAGAGAGGCAGAGGGAGAAGCAGGCTCCACGCAGGGAGCCCAACATTAAATTTCTCTTAACTCCCATATCCCTGAAGTGTTCTTGATGGTTCCAGGTTATTCCCTTATTAGACTGTTTCTAGCATACTACTTGGCACATACTATAGACCAAATATGCCCCTCAAGATTCAGATCTTACTTAGACTGCCCAGCCTCTGGAACTGTGAAATTTGTTTATAAGCCACTGAAGCCTATGGTACTTTGTTAAAGCTGCCTGAATGGATTAAACCAGCACATAATAAACATTCTGCATACATCTTGTCAATGAAAATTTTCTAAGAGCCACAAGCCCACTAAAAATTTTAGAATATTTAGTGTCCTTACCCCAGCAATGTCTGTGATCACCTTCTCTGTGATCTCCTTTCCACCCGTTAATCGAGTAGCACTTTGAAGAAATGTAATGGCTTTTCTTAAATCTCCTTCTGACACTTTAACAAGATAAGCTATTCCCTGAAAAGAAAAAAAAAAATTTTTTTTTTTACCCGTGATGGATGGCCAATGAAGACTTCTTGATTTTAATAAAAGTGAAAAAACACTATGTTTTGGCCTAGAGTTAGTGGGAGAAAAAATTCATTTTCAGTTTTAAGGGAATGTTATCAGTCCTAAAATGGAAAAATTCACAGAGATAGCATCAGTACAAGGGAAGGCTAGAGATCTCTTGCCTTTGGAAGAAATTTGCAGAGAAAAATGTTCCTTAGTTCTATTTTCTTGAATATATAAAATGATTTAAATTATGATTAAATTCTGTTATAATGAATAAGGCCTACATATTCTCTTTCTATACCAAAATTTCACCACCAAATTTGTTCCTCAAGTGATATATTAGCTAGGACACTGAAAAATCTTATTTATTATGCAGAGATTTGTTACTGCAGAGTATGTATCATGTGTATGAAATCTGTCCTAGTTCTGGCTCTGTGAAATATTGATAATAAATTTCTAAGAGTAACAAGAAGGTTGAACCTATGAATCCTACATATTCCAACTGTTGCTCTTTTAGCTTAACTTTGCCTGAAGGTGTAAGAAATTAAAGCAGTATGTTTGTTTTTATGACCTCTTATGAGTTCATCAAAGGCATTTGTAACTGCAGTATTTGTAATACTTAGTAATTACCTCATTGCTAACTTTGACATGTTCTTTATCGGCAATGTCCAGTAATCGCTGCTGTTGAATTTTATCTGACAGTGGTTTGAATCGGAACTTAGAACATCTAGACGTCAGAGGTTCAATTATTCTGT